CAAAAATATGTTCTAATTTTTTGTATAATTATAACACTTTACTAAAAACGACTTTAAATAAAAGGACAAATAATAAACAAAACAGTGCCATTTATAATCTTCAATGCATGTGAAGTGAACTAAACTTAATCATATTTCATCGATATCGATACAACATTTTATAGACAACCCTTTTTCGTCTATTTATTTATCAAAATACTGGTTTGTATCAGCAGTCAATCATCACTGTGTTTTCAGATCACTCAGCGCTAAAACTCCCGAACCGTACATCTCTATAAAACGTAGCGTAAACTCTAAAGTCTATATTGTACATTTTTACTGCGTATTAATTTGTTTATCTATTATTAACATGCTTTAATTTACGGCAGTAATAAAAACCGCACGGTATGTTTTGGAATTTGCTCTCGTCTGTTGTTTTTTTTAGTGCAGTGAAAATATTTTTGAACGTACACAAAGGTTTTATGGTTTTGAAACCTAGTAGTCTAGTGTGGTTAATTTATTACTGATACTGGTTTTTTTTTAAATTCTGTGCAGAAGAAATCGCAAGTAAAAGTTAGTTCGATATGCATATATTATACAGAACTATTTCATTCGCATGAAATTATGAAAAATTTATTTTATTGTTTACATTTGTCAAATTATGAATAACAAATGGCAAAATGACATGACATGACAAATCTTGCTTCCTTGATGTTGGCCGCAACTTATGGTCTCTTTCCCACATTAGGCTTTTCATCCAAAATATTTACCCCCTAAATTTAATGGCGTAAAAGTATATAGCCTAAAGCGTGACGTCAGTGTAGGGCTTCTTGTTAAAAAATAGTTATTCAAAAATATGCTGTAATTGCTGACATGTTAGGTAACAAAGAAGTGTGTGTTAATGCTTTATTATAATAGTATAGAAGTATAGATATAATTTTAGTACACTTTTATTACCTTACTTTTTAATTTTGTTTTTAACAATGTATTTTTATTGGTCGTTTAAGGATCGCTTTAGGCGATAAAACCGCAAGACATTTTTACGGTTTTATATCATCCGAGATCGAGGGAAGGCAATTCTCACGTCTTTAAACTGATCTTTAACGTATATTTAAGCCTCGATTGAGGCAAATCAATGTCTATCTTACGTCAGGATAGACATGTATCCGACAAATTTATTTAACCCGACTACGGGAAACTATAGTTTTATTTCTTTTTATAATATAAGGTGGCAAACGAGCAAGCGGCCACCTGAATCCACCGAAATGGAAAACGACCACTGCCCATAATCTTCCGCAATTGCAGTTGCGTTGCCTACCCTTAATTGAGGGAGGAAGGTTCGCACATAAAGAGGACAATTCCCCTTCCTATGCGTCTCCTCCACCGTCAAATCCACTTTTCCTTCCCATCCTCTCCACTTAAGAAAAGAGAGAAAGGGTCTAAAGTTATACCTCCGGCACCACACTTATCAGACGAATTCAAGCCCGGTGAATCTGTAAATGCCTCTTCAAGGCAAACAGTGACAAATCAGTCACAAAAAAAAAAAATTATCAGACGAAAAGCTTCCACTTCACCTTCGCCTGTTTTCTGTGTGGTCGTGGTATTACATCGTTAAAGCGGGCGCTACCTCTGTTAAAAACTAATTTGTTAGTGCAACAAATTTACTTGACCCGGGTGTTAAAAGTACAACAAGATTGTCGGGCAGTACCTGTCTCAATATTTCTAAATGCGTTTTACAATTTAGAGACAGACCTAATATTAATAATCATACCGGGCCGGTTAATTTTGTAGCACTATATTATGTAATTCATTCGGATCTCGCGACTGGCGTAGTCTTAATGAAATAATGTGCAAAACAATTGAAAATCGCCATTCTAACGTTTAACGTACATTGGCCGCAATAGGTACAAATTGAAGCCGCCATTAAAGTCTACTGAACAGTCGATAGCGTTTAAACTAAATAACTCGGTCTTTTATGAATCATTTCTAAATTTACGATTAATCACAACTTAAACGTCGCTAAAATAACTAATGCTGGGTTTATTTCATTGTTATCTAGTAATCCATTAGTTTTAGTTTGATCTTAGATTCAACGAAGTAAAATTCAAGTTACCTTCGGAAACGCATTTCATAAAGTTTCGAACAAGAAACACTAACGAATTGTTAAATGTAGCTGAGAAACTGACCATAAATATTATACAACTAGCTGATGCCCGCGATTTCGTCTGTGCAATATTAAGATTACGTAGCCTATAATATACCCGTCTATGTCGGCTACCCTTCAGTGAAAGTCCGGTCGAAATCGGCCCAGTCGTTTCGGATTACCCGGAACAAACGTGGTTTGCGGACAGACAGACAAAAATTGTTTAATGCTATTTTCGTTAATTTCCCGAAATCTGAAATTTTTCTTTTGATATTACAAATAGACACTACATTTCATTATATGTATAGATAGATTTGTAGTTTGTAGTATATGACAAAATTAACTTTATATGAATTGCGAGGAGCGAAGTGAAAACGCATTATGGTTTACGCTCATCGAAATATTTCAGTAGTTGACCACAATATTTAAATACAAGCTTTCGCCCTCGACTCCATCCACGTGGAATGAAAAAAACAAAAGTGAGTAGCCGATGTGTTCTTCCAGACTGTCCTTTACATTTATACCAAATTTCATCGAGATCCGTTAAGTCGTTTAGGCTACAAACTCTTACAAACATCCATCCATCCATCTAAACTTTCGCATTTATAATATTAGTAAGATATAATATAATATATAGATAACGTAATAATGTTTGCTCGGTTTCGCTTCGTATGTAAAAGCAAACGGAGCTTAATGTATTGGATACATCGGTAACAGGGCTAGTTGCATTCATAATCTCGCGGTATCAATTATTCTACGGCTTCCGGCTTACTACATGTTAAAATGTCCAAGTAAAACGTACGGATGTGTAAAAAATCATATCATTGCTTCAGCCAACACACAAATGAGGGGAATAAATGTTTATTATTTACTAGCTGTTCCGGTGCGACTTCAGCCGCACACAATTATGAAAAATTTATTATATTATTTACATGTTATGTTATTATATATTATATATTATATATTATATTATTTACATTATGAGTCAAATTATCAATTGCAAATGTCAAAATGACATGACATGATGACAAACCATGGTAACCTTGTTTCCTTGACGTTGGTAGCAACTTATGGTCTCTTTCCCACATTAGGGTTTTTATCCAAAATATTTACCACCTAAGTTTAATGGCGTGGAAATATATAGCCTAAAGCGTGACGTAAGTCTAAGGCTTTTTATTAAAAAAAGAATATTCAAAAATATGTTGTATTTGACATCTTAGGCAACAAAGTGTGTGTTTACGCTTTATTATAATAGTATAGATTAATACAGAAACAAGATATTACTGGAAACTTCTGTAATTATTAGAAAGCTGCAGGGGTTGTTAATTATATAAACAGCTGATGCGGTCTGTCGGCCTGCTTGATCGGATGCAATTACAGTTTAGTGCGGCCGTAAAAATGGGGTAACAAAATGGTCGGCAGGTAAAACCCTATTGTTGACCGCAACTTTTTTATACCAAGTTTAAAATAAGCTCCACTTAAATGGACATCGGGTTTAACAAATCTATTACGTTTTCGTTTGTAATCGCGTTTTTTTGTTTTATAAATGAGATTGTTAAATGTAAACTAAAATTGTACAGGATGTTATTTTTTGACAAGTATTAAAAATTAAAAAAAACTAATAAGTCTGAAATACGCGTCTAAAAGCGATCGGTATTGTTCATATTCGCCATACACGGACCGCAGTTTTCGCCACTAAAAACGCTGGTAGAGATATCTCTAACTGGACTGTCTTTATTTTATTGTGTTAATACTATTGTAGGCTTGTGAATTTATAATGATATTTAATTAGAAGCTTAAATACAAAATTATTAATATTACAAGCGCAAAGTTTAGATGGATGGATGTTAGAGTTTGTAGCCTAAACGGCTGAATGGATCTCGATGAAATTTGGCAACGACGCAGAGGATCATCTGGAAGAACACATAGGCTAATCACTTTATTTTAATTCCACACGGACGCAATCGCGGGCAAAAGCTAGTTGTAAATATAGTTTATTTTATCAGGTTTAAGTAAAGAGGTTATAGTTGATTTCATGTAATGGTAATCTTGTGAAAGGTTTTGCATAGTTGATAAGATTGAGACTGTCATATTTCTAATTCAACTGGCAGCAAATTGGTTACGTGATTAGATACGTCCGAGTACGAAATGGAATTTATAGTAACCTTATAATTTGAAATGCACCGACATTAAGACTGATTTGAGTTTAATAGTATCCAGATTAGATAAGATGAAAGTTATTATTTTTAGATAGACATTAGTATCTAAAATATCTAACAGATGTATCAAGTGAATTCAAATTATTAATAGACTTTCGCCCGTGATTCCGTCCGCGTGGAATTAAAAAAACAACAAAAGTAAGTAATTTGTGTGTTCTTCCAGATTATCCTCTACATCTATACCAAATTTCAACCAAATTCGTTGAGACGTTTAGGCTACAAACTCAAACAAACATCCATCCATCTAAACTTTCGCTTTATTAATATTAGTAAGATTTCTAAATACTTTTTAAACACATTTTAGGCTTAGAATACTAATTTGCTATTATTCTGTAAACTTTAGAAAGTTTATGGTCATGTTTATTTTTTAAACTTATCATAAATTAAACAAGGGTTTATTAAAGCCTTTTGCATAGTATGAAGTTGAACAATTGGCTGCGATTCTCATTTAAAAAATGGTGGCAGCCCGAAGAAGCGAAACGCCTTGACATTTTGAAGTGCAGCGCAGTGGATGGTGGCCCATGGTAGGGCTTTTAAAGGATGAACTCGTGCTTGTATTGCATTTACGCGCCCTCCAATACGACCCTTCCCCTTACCGGCGAATCCTATGGAATACTTACAAACGACTCAAAAGCAAGCCAGTCTGGTTTTGTATTTCCATGCGCGCGGATCGCAGGCGCGTCGCTCGTCCAAACGTAACCGTTCCAAAGTCTCTTTCGAATTTTTGAAAAAGGAACACTACAGCTTCTTTTTGTCTATTCATTTCTTAATATGTCTGGCCATTGAATTTTGACGTTTCGTTGTTTTTTTTTCGTCTACGGATTTTGCGTGTAAGCCATAAACTTTTGAGAAAGTTTTTGAAAAGTTTTTTTTTCTGATCTTTATTTGGATTTAATTAGAAATTGTGTTGGAAATGGTATTGTTTTGTGTCTAATTAATTTTGTTTGTTTCTGTTTTGATAAAGAAGATGCAATTGTATTTTTTTGTTTTTGTTTTGATGTTTCGCTGTGTTTTTGTGAAGTGAGTAACTATTTTCGAAGTGATTTAAATTCTAAACAGGACGTTTAGTGGTAACGGTAAATTGAGTTTTGGCAAACATTGGAGCATCATGAAGCTGTTTTGGAAAGTTTTGTGTTTTTTTATTCTGTTCATTGAAGCTGTCACCGGTAATTGGTGGTAAGTTATCACATATTATTCCATATTTAAAAATTTGGAAAAAGTTATTTTACTTTTTTAATTAGCCTTATTTTACTTTTATTACATGTGTTTAAAACGGCTGCAATCCTATGTTACTGGCAGTTTTTGTTAGTTATCTATAAATAGCGTTTCCTTAACACAAATAACGAAATGTTTACCTTTTGCTTTGTTCTCTACATTGTTGTTTAATACGTCGTTTAAAAACTAACAATTTATAAAACATGCCACAACTTTGTTTTTAACATTTCGTGTTTTTATAACTTGAAGACGAATTTAAAAAAAAATCTTACAAAGCAATAGTTCATTGTTCTAGAAAGTTTATCTCTTTTCTTTCAGGTATTATAAACCGTACTATATTTTTAAGTTGATCAAATTACATAAATGAACATAACTTTATAAAGATCAAGTCAGATTCACGGATATACAAGAAAAGTTTTAATTATGTAAAGTTTTTAATACATTATGCGTGTTTTTTCCCGTTTCATTCATGTCTCACGTTGATATACATTTGCTAGAAAAAAAGCCTGGATTGCACTTAACTCGAGATTGTCTACACTCGGCTTGTGGAGTCCTCACTCCTATGTTTGCGGCTAATTAGTTACGAGATTTTTATGACGTTCTTTTTTTTTTACTTTTTTTTCTCGCGCAGAACGCCGAGAGCGAAGCTTCATTTGAAAATGGAATGTTGTTTTTCTTTAAAATGTAACAGCGTTTGTAAAGTTACAATGCCAACTTCAAAATTACAAAATAATGTTAATACAGCTATTGTTTTATTTTTTTTTTAAGAACAAAATCCATCGGCATCAAGAAAAACATTTTATTTTTAATCTATCCAGTTGCGTAGAAATACACGCAACAAAGGTACTTCAAGTTATTTATATTTTTTTTAAATGGCTCATTTTTATGTCAACATGTATGTAATCTAAATACAGCTAGGCAGTGTCCGAGAAATCGATTTAAATTGTATAGATGCGTAACCGATCGATTAGAGCATTGGAAATCGATACGCGCTAACAAAATCATTATTATAGCTACCGTTTGAGATGTTTTTAATTGTACAGTTATTAATGGTGAGTTTTCACTGTTTATACAATAAATAATAAATTTAAAAACTATAATGCCAAAAATCCTTTTGTCAATAGAAAGTTACAATACACTAAATTATATCTTCGTACTATTTTAAATGACAAAGTTTAGGTAGATGTTTATTAGACTTTTTATCCTAGACTGCTAAACCGATCTTAACGAAATTTGTTACATATGTAGAGAATGGAACAACATAGGCTACTGTGTTTTTGAATTCTACGCGGACGGAGTCGCAAGCGAAAGCTTACTAGGGTACAATTATTATTCGATTTTATTTTAACTCCACTTAAGTCGCAGGTAAGTAAGTTCAAGTTACATTCTAATACATAAATACACTAGCTGTTGCTCGCGACTTCGCCCGCATGAAATTAATATAGCCTCTGTTACTCACTGATAAGTTATCTTTCTAACAGTGAAAGAATTTTTAAAATTGGCCTAGTGATTTTTGAGTTACTTCAATACATGCAAAAATTCAAAAAAATACAAATCTTTCCTCTTTATAATATTAGTATAGATTTTTAATCTTCCATATCTTTAATTTCTTATTTTTATTTATAGTACATTTTACATGATTTTCTATTAAAAAAAATAAAACATATTATATAAAAAAAAACATACAGACGAATTGAGTACCTCCTTCTTTTGGGAAGTCGGTCAAAAATAGAAGTCCGCTGCGGAAGAAGCTGGAAGCTGCGGAATCGGATGACTCAAGCAACCAGTAGTCAGGGCTGCAGAGACAGGAATCTCCTCACTATTCGTGCGGTTTCTAAAATAACCGCCTTTTGAATCGGGCCCTTAATCCAACTGTCTAGCGAGAGCTTCTTGAGGTGCTGGTAGAAGCTTTTCGCTATTAGCGAATGTACCGAAACGACTATCGGAATAATGGTAGTCGATTTCATACTAGTATAAATAACTATTATACTTGTTAGAAACATTCATATTCCTTTACATATTTCTATAAACAGTATATTTGCGAACTTTAACAAATATGTTTAGTTAAATTGCCTTGCAACGGTAAGTATTGTTTATCTTCGTTGTCTCACTGTCTGTTACTCAGTTTGGTGGAAATTCGAGTGTACAATAAACATGTATATACGATATCTTATAGCAGTGTCGTTATGTACGAGGTGCGCGTGGAATTAAAAACAAAAGTATGTCTACGTGTTCTTCCAGACATTTCTACATTTATGTCGAAGCGTTTAGGGGACAAACTCTAAGATCCATCTAAACTCTCGCATTTATAATATAAGTACGATTGATTTTTTTTTAATTTGACCACCAACCTTAAGGTAGTTAAACAAACTTAAATGAAGTCTATTTACAGTATATGTGAATATTTTTATTAAATTGTAGTGAAAAAAAAAACAAAAATGTTAACATTTGTTACTCTATAAAATTTATGTTTTGATGACGGATATATTCTTTTTTTTTTAATATATTGTGAAGTGGTAAACGAACAAGCGGCCGCTACCCATAGACATCCGCATTTGCAGATGCGTTACCTAATCTTAATCGACGGAAGAAGAGACGCACATAAATAAGATATTCCCCTTTCTTATGCGTCTAATCCACTTTTCCTTTTCGTTCTTTCCTCTTAAGAAAAGGGCGGAAAAGAAAAGAGACTAAAATTAGGCCTCCGGTACCACACTCATTAGACGAAAGGCGGAATTGCTTCCATTTCAAGCCTGTTTTCTGTGTGGTCGTGGCATTACACCGGGCGAGCCAGCCCATTCGTGCGAAGATGTTAAACGGGCTCTACCATTGTTAGAATTTGGAATATAGATTTCGGTAGTTGTTTTCTATATAATTGCTAGTTTATTTCAAATTGTACGTTCATTACCTTTACATTACCCTTAAGGCAGGTGTAATATTCCTTGTAACATGTCGCACTAAACATTCCTACCTATCCCGCGAATTCGCGTCGCATACATGAAACGCGATCCCCGTTCAAGTCAGGTACAGTCGAGACCATCATCGTAGATGTTATTTACTAGCTAACGCTCGCGACTCTGACTGTGAGGAATTAAAATTAAATTTGTAGTCTATGTCCTTTTAGACTGTCCGATGACGAATTTCAACGAGATTCTTTTATTCGTTCTGGAGATATCATCAGATCATCATTCAGAGTCACAGAAATCGGCGGTGTTCCAAAGGAAAAATTACCTTGTTCTTTGCATCAAGACACACTCGCCTCTTTCTACAAATAATTAATTTGATAGTAGTGTATTGATTTTTTTTTCGAGTCTGGTTTCAAAATGTCCAAAGCTTTTAAGATGGTACACCGACATTCTCCGCGACTGTACATTAAGAAACTTTTACCCAAATGTAAATATTCAGTTTTTGCCTGTAACACATTTGGATGCGACTGTACCAATGCATTTGTGCGGCACACGAGTGATTAATGGGAAAGATCCCGTTGTGTACAGGTCGTGAGAAGAGGCTAGCTTTCCATAGACACGAGAAAACTTATGCCCTGTCTACACCCTTTACAGTCGCTATAGGGTTTCACTTAAAAAAAACCGCTTAAATGATGTATCTGTACGGGTTTTATTTTGTTTTATACTAGCTTTCGCCCGCGACTTCGTCCGCGTCAAATTTAATAGCTTATGTTACTCACTGTCAACGTAGCTTTTTAATGGTGAAAGAATTTTTGAAATCGGCCCAGTAGTTTTTGCGTTATTTCATTACAATCGAACAAAGTTTTCCATTTTATAATATTAACATAGATAGACTAGCTGTTGCTCGCGACTTTGCTCTCGTGGAATGAAAAAATATAGCCTATGTTTTCCACGGATAACATAGCTTTTTATTGGTGAAAGAATATTTAAAATCGGTCAAGGAGTATTTGATTTATTTCAATACTTTTAAAAAATAAAAATCTCTCTTTTTTTTATAATATTAGTATAGATAGGCGTAGTTACGTATAGAATTAAAGCCTTTTTATGAGCATTTTGAATATTATGAACAATATTGGTTATAACTAATTGTTATGGCATAAATAATTGGCGTAAATATGTTATAATACCAGTTGTATAAGAACATATCTAATGTAGGTATAGTTACTCGTGCAAAATACTGACTTTGCAGTAATGTAACCTTATTTAACTAATTGGTAGTGATTTCTCCTTTGTTATTTATCATTGAATAATAACGTTAATATATCGTAAACATTCAACTTGATATCTTGTTTATTTTGTTAACATAGTCGTACATAAGATAATTTCCTATTGTTCAACGCTTATTAACATGCTATAAAATTCTTTACTTTATATGATATCTACGTAATTAGAGCATGTTTAATCTTACTAATATTATAATTACTAGCTTTCCCTCGCGACTCCGGCCTCGTGGAATTAAAAAAACAAATAGCCTATGTGTTCTTTCAGACTTTCCTCTACATCTATCCTAAATTTCATTGAAATCCGTTCAGCCGTTTAGGCTAAAAAAACTCTAACTAACATCCATCCATCTAAACTTTCGCATTTATAATATTAGTAAGATAACTATTATAACTAATATTATAAATATGAAAGTTTAGATGGATGGATAGATGGATGGATGTTTGTTGGAGTTTGTAGCCTAAACGGCTGAACGGATTTCGACGAAATTTAGCATAGATGTAGAGGAAACTCTAAAAGAACACATAGGCTATTCACATTTGTTTTTATTCAATACAACGCGGACGGAGTCGCGGGCGAAAGTTAGTTTGTACATTATGTTTACAAGTTAATTACCTAAATTTTTAAGTCAATTAAAGAAAGTCATATCTTAGTTATGTTTTAAATTTCGTGTAAAGTTTATTTCAAAACAAAACTAGTAGATTTTAAGTAACTATAATAGGAAGCATTTTTTACATATTTACTATTTTTTGGTCTTAATCTTAACTCAAAATG